ACCTTTATTTTATTTGTTTATTTGTATGTGGTACTGAGGATCTAACCCAGCGCCTAGCATGTGCTAGGTGAGCACTCTACCACTGAGCCATAACCCCAGCCCCTTGCCTGAAATTCTTTTTGATATTATCTTTTTCTTTCTACTTCTTTACTGAATCAATTTTGCACTGATCTTAAGCTAAAAGAGCACCATCATAAAGAATATTATAATAATATATTTAGGATTCCATTCTTTTTAAGTATCAATTCCCCTTCCTTAAAATATAGGAGGTCTTGCATATTATCTTTCAATTTCATTAATTTGTATCTACAGTTTATGTTCTGGACTGGTAGCTTCTGTTCTGGGAACACCAGCTGATGTCATCAAAAGTCGAATAATGAATCAACCACGAGATAAACAAGGAAGGTAATGAGAAATTCTTCTATATTTGTGTGATTGTCTATAAGAATACAATTTTTTGAAGATATTTTCCTTTTTTTTTTTTGCAATAGTGGGGATAGAACCCAGGGGTGCTCTACCACTAAGCTATATCCCTAGCCCTTTATATATATTTTATTTTGAGACGGGGTCTCTCTTGCTAAGTTGCTGAGATTTGTCTTGAACTCGTGATTCTTTTCCTCAGTTTCTTGAGTCACTGGGATTACAGGCGTGTGACACTGTGCCTGTTTTATGTAGTTATCCTTTTTTGGGGGGGAGGTACTGGGGATTGAACTTGGGGCACTTGACCACTGAGCCACATCTCCAGCCCTGTTTTGTATTTTATTTAGAGAGAGGGTCTCACTGAGTGCTCAGTGCCTTGCCATTGCTGAGGCTGACTTTGAATTCATGATTCTCCTGCCTCAACCTCCTGGGCCGCTGGGATTACAGGCATGTGCCACTGCTCCCAGCTTGTAATTATTCTTGATAGAAATGTATTTATGTGTTTTTGTGGTCAAAGAGGAAATTGTTTTTATGTAATCACTTCCTCTTTGTCTGATGAAAAACTACTATGTATTTGTGGAAATGAGCTAATTAACAATCCCATTATTTCAAGGCAAGGAATTAATTGTGACTTGTTTTTCAAAGAGTTTTTGAAAGCATTCTCTGCTGAGCATTTACACAGCACTTTCTTCAAAAGCCTTTCACTTTCAGGTAACATGGAGAATTTGAGTCAATATGAAATAGTCCCTCCTCTCTGGAAGAAATCAGATGAAGTGAATTCTAAGTATAAGATCAAGGGTGGATGAATCAGAAGTCAGCCTTGAAAATTTCTTTAAGCTCAAATGAAGCTATCTATATCTTTAAGACCACAAATATTATTTGTTCAAGATGAGCAGAAAATATTTAACTTATAATATTCTTTTAGACAATTTTATTTATGTGTCTGTTTATACTGAGGAAATTTAACAGGTCTTTTGTTCCCTTTTAGGGGACTTCTGTATAAATCATCAAGCGATTGCCTGATTCAGGCTGTTCAAGGAGAAGGATTCATGAGTCTATATAAAGGCTTTTTACCGGCTTGGCTACGAATGGTAAAGTTGGACATTTTATTTCTTCCTTCCTTTTTCTTTTCTTTATATTTAAATCTATAAACATTTTCCCTTTTCTCTTCTGGTTTGTGGAATGGCCTGCTCCCAACTGAAGATCCATCCTTTCTGTTTTAAATCTTGTTCAGTTTTCTTTCACCTCTCCTCAGAGCCATATTGCCTTTCTTGGTAGATTAAATTAGTTACCTCTAGAACAAATAGATTGGTAATCTGTTATAAAATCAGTGGATAGATTTTTGGTAATATAGAACCTTTAGTAGTCTATTTAGCTAAAATACAGTAGATTGGGACAAGTATACTGATTTCAGTAGGGATTTTTCCTATGAGAAGTTTGCAGTTTCAAACAAAATTTGTTACTTTGATGGCAAATGTTACATCTGCTGATTACCTTAAAATTCTGCTCCATGAGAAACCATTATGTCATCCTTATTTGGTTTAAATGTTATTTTTATACATATATATATTTATATATTTTTATAATATATTTTATATTTTAAAGTGAATTAAGATGTAGGATTAGATTTGTTTAAGTAATATAAATACAACATAAGGTACTCATGACTTTTGTAAGCTAGAAAATATTTGAAAGAATGGACGAATTATGGATTTAGAAAGTCAAAATTAATAATTATATATATGTACATGTGTATACATATTTAATTGAACACCTACTTCATGCAAAGCCCTGTACTAAGGGCTTAGCCTTAAATAAGAGACTGGAAGTGATGAGTGTTACAAGAAGAACTCTTGTGCTATAGAAATGTGTAACGAACAAGTATGGCCTACCCTGGGAAGTTAAGAAAAACCCTCTGGTTCTTAGAAGGCTTTGTAACTGATATTGGAGTAATGAGTACAACTTGGCCAGGTAAAAGGGACAGAAAGGAGCACTCTGTAGAGAGCCATAGTTGGAGTAGACAAGACAGCATGATGAGTACAAGGAAGCCCAGCAGGCCAAGGCACAGGGCCCCCCAGGCAGAGAGTGAAAGGCTTGATTCAGGAGGGCCACCTGAACCCTGCAGTGGTGGCCATTGGCTTGATTAAATCTGCATTTTTAGAAAGATTCTTCTAGATTTCCTGGGCTGAGAAAAGTCTAGAGTAGTGATCAATGAGGATAATAGTGGCTTAGATGAGAGTTGGTAATGGGACAGAAGATGCGTTATAAAGTGGAATTTAGGAAGTAGAAATGTGACCAACGGGATAAGGATAGGGGAATGGAGGAGAAGATAAGAAAAGTCAGGCCCTGAGCAATCAAGGTTGATAAAATATCTCCAAACAGGGATTATATGCAAGGAAAACAGTTTGGGAGTAAAACGAGTTTAGTTTTAGATCTGGGAGGTTTGGATACACATAGCACATTTGAGTGGAAAGGTCTAGATGAATAATTTAATATATAGGTCTGGACCTTACAAGAGAATTGGGGATGAAGATTTAGATTTGGGCACGGCCAACATATAGATGGTAATTGAAGCTCTGGGAATAAATGATTATTAAGGGACAGTAGATGTTTATTAACATGGAATTAATAACCAAAATAATAGCTCAAAGCAATAACTGATACAAAATGTACTAGAAAAAAAATTTAAAAATTTAAAAAATGTACTAGAGTTTAAAAAACGCACAAACATTATTTTGGTAGTCTTGATTATGAAGTACCTTGGTATTATCTCAAAACTGAAAAAGTAGGTTTTGTTTTGACTTACATTAATCAGACATTATCACAGGCATAGCTAATATACTAAGGAATAAGAATCTTTGTGCTAGAGGAGCTTATAACAAAACTTAGAAGTTAAGTAAGTAGTTAAAATCCTAGTAATGATATATATTTCTAAATACATATCACAGAAACACTTGGTATATGATGAAAACTGTGCTAGTTATTTTTATGACTTAACTTATTGAATTTGCCCCACAATTTCTGCAGTAAGTTGGTCTCCTGTTCCCCATTTATAGAGGAGGACATAAAAATGTAGTCTGAATAACTTGGCAAGGCTAAAATGGCTGTTAACTAATATTCATACCACTGACAAATCCAGTGTCAAATCCAGGCAGCCTGATTCTGGAGGAGGTAGCATCAGGGGTTGCATTAGTACCTGTCAGTGGTATGAACAATACCCTGTGGGAACATGGCTTATATAATAGAAATGGCTGTAACCTAATCTGAAACTAACAAAACTCTATGCAGAGCTGTTTTTGAAGCCTCAGTACATATTGGTCAAGAGAAATAGGAGGAAGCAATGTGAACCTGGGCACCATGTTATGTGTGTGCCCGGTGAGTGTGAAGAACTGTCAGCAATTCAGTGTGTCTGGAGACAAGGTCTTCAGTGGGAGGTAGCAGGAGATGAGGCTGAAGATCTCCCTAAGGACCCAGATGGAAAAGACCTTGAAGGCCAAGCTTAGTGGTCTAGGGGTGATCCTGCAGTCAGCAAGCACCTGTGTAATCATGGGAACAACACACTAAGATTACTGTGAACATAGTAGAGATGACATATGTAAAACTGGGGCATAAGAAAGTTTTGATAGTGGTCTAACCAAGAAATCACTGTACAAAACGGAAGGAAAACATTCTAAGGACACTTATGGTTAATGCCATAGGACTTTGTAACTGATTATATATGGAAGGCAAGGGGCAGAAAAAACAAAATGGGATTTTTATGTTTCTAGTTCAGGTGATACATTGCCAAAACATTAAGTTAGGATCAGTCAGGATGAGGGGCAGGAAGATTTTACAAGTACATTTAATGTAGATGCATTCTCTTTATATGTGAGATTTAGGAAATATAGATGACAAAAGAGTATTAAATATGTTCAAAGCTCTTTGCATACATTAATTATTGTTAGACTCTATTTTTAGGAACCCAGTAAAGCAGGTAGTGTTATCCTCATTTTTCAGATAAGAAAACATGGCTAAATGTTTAAGAAACTTACTGAAATTCATACAGCTAGTACATGGCAGAGCTACATTGCTGGCAGGTCTGTTCAATTCAAAACCTCCTGCTTCTTACTAATGCAGTAAACTGAGTTGCTCAAGACCCTGCAGTTAGTTTACAGAAATTCTAACACAATAGAAATAATATGTAGTGATGGAGAGGTATTAGCAAAGAAAGGATGGCTAACCAGCAAAGATCACCAGGGTACCATTGAATGTTGATTTTCCACAGTGCATGAGTCTGAGCTCAGAAGCCTGACTCATGAACACTTCCAAGTAAATTGGTCTTGACAATACAGACTCACCTAGCTGAACTCATTGAAACTGGTGATTAGACCAAAGCACCTGGAATATTCAGTGCACTACACATAGAGCAAGTCATCCAGGTGTTGATGACCTCAGGCCAGCAGGCTTCCTCTGGAATTCAGGCTATATGGTGGCCCAAGTTATAATTAGAAGGTTGCTGGCTTACCACAGAATCACCACAGGAAGAGCCTATTTATAGACTTAATATTTCAGAATATCAACTCAAGAGAGCTCTTCTGTGTCCAGCTGCACAATAACAGGCATGGCAAAGCATTCTGCTTTTATTCCAGTAGTTGTGCAAAAGGCAGACTAGAGGAAACAGCATAGGTTCATCTACACTTAGATTATTTACAGTGATCATAATTATGCCATCGAGGAAATCAATAAGTAAACAGTGTCTGCATGCACTCCTGTGCAGAGACTCAGGAAAACCTCACTCATTTTTTACCTACCACATTCTTGGGCTATGTAATCTCCCTCTTTAAACTCGATACAAAACCCAGCTAAGCTCTCTCCAACCCCTTCCACTAGGTAGAGGTGGTATGACCTTGTTGGGCTCAGTCCTAGTTAATTTTTACTTTGTTTGAGTATGATTTTGATAATATAGTGTTGTCTTTAACATGAAGAAGAAATCCAATCACCACAGCAATTAGGAGTGATTGCATGTTTCATTCTTTAAACTAAGTGCACACCCTCCTTGATCTGACTACAGTTAGATCTTTGGTTCACTTCACTTTGGTTGTCCCAAGAATATGGTATCTTTACAGCTTTATAATCATTATTTATTTTATGTCTTCATACATTAACTAAAATGTGTTCTTCTAAATTTACTATTTAGTAAATTCTCAGGTTACCAATGTAACATGTTCAGTATTTCTGAACATATGACAAGTACACATGACAGCTTTACAAACTCCCTAACCAAATACATTTGTATTCTAATTGCCTAAGTTTCTCTCTCTCTTCTAGTATGATGGAGTTCCTCTCCAGTCAGTATTGATCAGAACCAAACAATCAGGAATTAGATCTAAGGTTTCCTTTGGTGTTCAATGTGTACACACTAGTGTATATTATATCTTCTTCTAACTTGTCTCCTTTTAGAAGTCCTTTGTTCAGGTTAAAGTCAAACCTTTCTGAGATAGAAGCTGTTTTCCCTAGTTAATGTGAATGTTTATATACATGTTGTGAGACATCAGGTTTGGGGGTTTATATATTATCTCTTAAAGAATAATCTTTTATTTTTCTTTCAAGTTTTTAAGTCTAGTTGTTATGCTGCATATACAAACTACGTGTAAAGGGGCCCAGCCTGGACTTCAGGCATCTGAGTTCTAGCGCTATCGCCAGAAGTGGTTATTTCAAAGAACCCTGGGAGTGGAAAACAGAAGCCTGTGGTCTAGCTCTGCACCATGTCAGTAGGCATTTGACTGCTAAACCTCAGTGTCCTCATCTGTTAAATGGGGACATCATGACTTTTCCTTCATATTATACATATACTAGAGAAATAGGTGATAAATAAGACATGAAAATGCTTTTGAAATTATAAAGTGATATACAAAGATGAAAGACAAGATATTTGGTTTTGGCCTACATGGATTCAAAATTACTTTGTCACTCAAAAAAAAGATGTATATGCATATATGTAGAATATTTATAATTTGCTTTGAAATGCGCACTAACCTCTTTGGTTAATCTTTCAGACCCCTTGGTCATTGGTGTTCTGGCTTACTTATGAAAAAATCAGAGAGATGAGTGGAGTCAGTCCATTTTAAGCCCTTAAAGATACAGTGTTCAGTATTATTGAAATACGGGCATCTGCAACACACACCCCCTATTATTTCTACCTCTTTAGGAAGACACCTTACTCCACAGAGACTGTGATTTATAGGGGGCAGCACTTTATTTTTCTTTGGAAACCCAAGTTCTCTTTGACTCCTCTTTTTGTCTAAAAGTGATCTGGTCGGATCTCACAAGGCTATCCCAGGAGACCCAGCACACTGTTTTCTCAAGAAGAACGGAACCCTGACGACTTTCATCTTGGGCAAGATGGTTTGGCCCTTGAGATGCTGTTTGTACTGAAGAGACTGCTTAGAGGGAGCCAGCAGGAGGGAGCCAGCATCTCAGAGCTGAAGAAGATAATAGGAATATGGAAGAATATATACGTAGTGCTTAAGAAATACTTTTAACCTGTTATGTCAGTGTTTATAGTTGAAGTTTAACAATTCACTCTTCTGTTGTTGTAAAGTATACATATTGTAAATTAAAGGGAGGTAAAAATTCATGAAAAAAACATCTTGAGCTTCCCTACTATTGAAGGAAATGGATGTACATTTTCTTGCAAAGAGGATTAAAAAATAAATGTGAAGTTGAGATGATGTTTGGATGTCAAGCAAAGCTGCTTGCTATCAGTGCCCATCCTTCGCCCTGTGTTCATTGGTTAGCATTCCACCACACTTGCTAGTAACTTCCCCTGATAGCCACAGACTCTGAATCAAGATGAGAAAAGAAAAGAGCATTTGCCTTGTTACATGTCCCATTTCAACACGGATTTATCACTGGATTTCAAGAATGTTATAATGAATCACAGTTGAGGGGCTGGGGTTGCAGCTCAATGGTAAAGGGCTTTCCTGGCACATGTGAGGTCCTGGGTTCCATCCTCAGCACCACATAAAAATAAATAAAATTAAGGTATTGTGTCCATCTACTAAAAAATAAATAAAAGAATCACAGTTGATTTGGTTAAAATTCAGCTGCATAGGTCCCTCTGTAAAAAGCATCCTTTGTTACCATCCGCCTTTCAGTGGTATTTTAAAAACAAGACTGATATGAAGTTAGCCAACTCTGATGTGTGTCCTTTCTTACCCTGCTTTCCTAACATTAAGGAAAGGAAAGAGGGAGTGAGGGAAGAGACGAAGAAAAAGAAATCACAATCTACTGAATCTTACTCAGTTTGACAAAGTTTCTTGCCTAAAATGTCATAAGTATAAACAGTCTATGGTATATAGTCATGTATCCAGTCTTTGAACCAAATCAGTTTTCTTACCGGACACAGTGGTACATGCCTGTAATCCCAGCAGCTCAGGAGGCTGAGACAGGAGGATCATGAGTTTAAAGCCAGCCTACATCAAGGCACTAAGCAACTCTTTGAGACAGTGCCTTTAAATAAAATACAAAATAGGGCTGGGGATGTGGTTCAGTGGTCAAGTGCCCCTGAGTTCAAACCCTGGTACTTCTCGCCCATCACTTTTCTTATTTTAGAAAGGTAGGAGATTTCTTCAGATTCATCAGTATCCCACATGCTCCCCCATCCTTAGACAGTGGACAGTTCTGGATGGATTGCTGCACATATGGAAAAAGACTGTAACTGTTAAAATAGGAAAACTGAAAAAGCTCAGGCCCAAGAAAGACCCTGGAACTAAGAGAATAGAATTTGTTATGATGAACACGGATGATGTTGGATGTTGCTGGACAGAAACAATTTTACAAGTGCTCTGTGGTTGCACTAATGTATAATCACTGCCATTTTAAGAGGGGGAAGTACACTTCAAATATGTTATAATGTGATATAATAATATGCAGTGGCTTATTGTTGCAAAATGTGTATTTTAATCTCTTCAAATCCTCTTTAGGTTTTCTATTTTTCCATTGCATTTGCCAATCTGTAATTGATTTGTCAAATGTACTTAACGTATATTATGTGCTTAAATCCCTAGTGTTCTGTATTGAACAACTTTGGGGAAATTTTGATTTTTTATGTTTTGTAATTTATAAGATTTAAATGAAAACTGTATCAAAATAATTACATTGCAACTGAATTATTTTAAAAAAGGATTTAGTTTTATTCTTTGGGGGGGCTTGGGACTAAAACATTGCATAAGTAAGTTCCTTGGTACCTGAATCAACATGAATTGGAATTTTTAACCTGAAATGATTCCTTGGGTTCATCTCATTTACATGTTAGGAAACTGAGTCTCAGAGAAGTACAGTTGTGCATGCTCATAGTGACTTAATAGTGGAGCCCGGATAAAAATGCAGATCTTCTAATTATTATGATCATTACATCTGATAGTTATTGTGCACTAACTAGATACCAAGTAAATGTCTTATGTCATCTTCACAACAACCCAGTCCAGCAATGTTGCATCTTCCAAAAACAGGTTTTCTTTTTAGTTTTTTTGTCTCATACATTTTAAATGAATCTGAATTTCTTCTAGTACAAATTTTAGAATGGAGTCATGATGCTTTGGTTTGAACATTTAATCTGAATCCATAATCTGACTGAATCCTGTGTATCTAACATATAGCCCATCATGGTCACACTTCTCAAGTGAAATCATTCATTAATTATCTTAGAATTTTGCTTTATTTTTGCCAACTTGGGTCTTCTTGTTCCTTTCCAAAATAATCCAGTAAATAAAAAGGAATACAAATTTCTGTGGTATTCTGTACATATTCATAGGCTTCACAATTCCACTTTTCCCTTTCTTATTATAACACTACTTTATGTGGTGCTTCTCTATTTCTCTTTAGTTCTATATTGGTAATATTTGACATTTCAGTCCTTTGCTTTGCTTTCACATTTTTTTCTCTTCTCAGATGATTTTTTTTTTCCTCATTGAAAAGTGTGTGTGTGTATATGTGTGTGTATTTTGGGTTATATAGAGTTCTATATTTTTGGTTATATAGAATTACTATTTTTGTTTATATAGAGTTCTCTCTTCTTTGTATAATTAGCATATATATCTAATTAAAGAGATAGTATTTCTTAAGTTTGCTTAGTTAGGTATAATGTATTTTTCAGGTATTCAAATCCTGTTTCGTTTTTATACACTAGTGAGAGGGACTACATGTTCTGTTTTTCTGTGATTTCTGTTCTTTGTAGTAGCATTTTTTTTCTTTTTCTTTTTTTTTTTTTTGCTATTAAGTACTCAGTAAAAATTGTTTGCACTTACATATAACATGAAACACTTAACTTTGTATTAATTTAAGAATTTGTATTTATGAGTCTGGCATTCCTGTTATCATCCAAATTTTTAAGCATATTTATGTATAATTCATATAGTCACACATGTTTTTCTCAGGCCCTCCCTTGGAAAAATGCTTAATTTTAATACTTGGTAATTAAAAATTTGGGGGGGGGG